GCAGGGTAGGTATTAACATCCCCGCCCCCGCCCCCGCCCTCGATTTTTTCAATCGGGGAAAAACTCGAACCCGATAAACACGAGTTTTCTCCATCCAAATCAAGGTGGGTACCCACGGAGGCGGGTTAATGTACAGTTAAGAAACTTTTGCATTCCCATGGGATTTGTTCCAATTGAAATCGTGGGAACTAGATTATTCAGTGAACACGAGGTGGTTCTCTTTAATTCATACCAAGTAAAGCTGAGGAACAATTCCAACTGCAAAAAATTTCTAATGTGATTATCAAAGAAAGAGAATTAATAAATGTCACTAGAGTAATTAATGAATCTTATATTTCACGAACTGCGCATGTGTCGGTTGCATATTTGAAAATTCTGGTTAAATTGAGCAAGAGGCCGCATGCATATTGCATAGCAATAGCATATATATAAGCCAGGAAAAGAAAGGTGAGTAATAAAACACACCTTTAATTTACGATTACGTTAAAGTGGTGATGTGCCACCAGTATTGCGAGCCGTTAGTTTTGATATTATTGCAAGAAAGTGATAATCACACCTTTTCGAAAATTCTCAGATCTTATTCTTACTAATTGAAATTTGAGTGACGTACTCTTGCTATTTTAGGAATATGGTTTATCAAAAATAAAATGGGACTCGCATACTTAATGAACAAAATGCCTAGGCCTGACTGTTTAAATTGAACCTTTTATTTTTTTTTCCACAACTAGGTTTAAGAGAAGAAATGGCTCTATCTTTTCTCCCATTGATTAATATACACTTAAAAGAATTGAATTTTTATGCAAAGTCATATCATGTTGGAATTTTTCAGGAGAGCAAAAATTTTAAGTTCTTTTGGAGGCAACTGCTATATAATGGCAATTGCGCTTCCAAATTAATTAATGGACATGTGAATAAAGATGCTGGGCTGCATTTCGTATTGTAGGTTTGAATATTTGAGTTAATTGTTTCTTTAGAATCAATAAATTATGCAGGGAAAGGCTGCAAAAGCCACATGACTATGTCAATGTGTTGTATGCTTGGGTGAATTCCATATTCATTAATTTTTCCTTTGTACCGTAATTCTCCTTAAATGAATTGCAGGACTAGAGATCCAGTTCTATATAATAATATCTGTAGATAAAATGAGATTGAAACATGTTTCGGTGGAAAGATAAGTTTCCAATAAAAGTTATAGATCATATTCAGTTGTAAGAAATCCCTTATATACTTAGATTGAATAACGAAGTTTGATTCATATATCTAAATGT